AGCCATCTGTGGGTCATACCCAGCTAGTACTCATTGTGCCTCATAAGAAGCCCCCCAAGGGATGTTAAGCTAGGAAAAATCATGGTGTGATTTGGATTTTGGAAAAATCCTTTTACCGGAAGACAGCAAGGAGATGGGACTAATGGGAAGCCTTCCCTCATAATGCCAAGATCTGGGCATCAGTGATGGGGTGTGGCTGGCTGGGTACTGAGGTAGGACTTGCAAGAAAAGTTAGCTACAAAGCAGGGAGCACTCCTGAATGACCCTGGATGCCTGTTGGATCGGGGATGAAGGAGCAGGAGCGAGCTGGGTACCTGGGGCCTGTCTGAGCTGGAGATGAAGTGGCCGAGGGCTATGTGACTGGGTAGTGAAGGGAGCAGAGGTGCCACCTTCATGCCCCTTCCTGCCAGGTTGTGGAGAAAACAGGCCGCCTTGTAAGAAGGCCAAGAGCTCTTGGGAGAGTGGGGTGGCCAGGACGCTGTCCCTTTGGTTTCCAGGGTGACCAGCGGGATGAGGAAGAAGAGACCCAGATGAAGAAGTCAGAATCGGAGGTAGAGGTGAGAGCTGGGAGGACAGGACGAAGTGAGGTGGGCAGGGCTTCTCTCAGCTGGGCCTGGCTCTCACCCTTTCTTTGTGCCCCTAGGAGGCAGCAGCCATTATTGCCCAACGGCCTGACAACCCACGGGAGTTCTTCAAGCAGCAGGAACGTGTTGCATCGGCCTCTTCGGGCAGCTGCGATGCACCCTCACCCTTCAACCACCGACCAGGTAGTCCCAGGTCCTGCCCCTGACCTGACCCCCTCTCCTCAGGTTCTGGGCCTGAGCCTCTCTTCGACTCTTTCTTGGAAGGGAAGCCTTCCTTGCCCAAGGACTCCTTTGGAGAAGGCAAGGCCATTCATTCGTCATGTGTGCTTTTGCCCACTGGCTCCTACGTGGCAGGACTGAGAGGGTTTCAGACGGGGGGTGGTGTTGCTCTTGGCTGAGCAACGGGTAGTGCCAGAGGTCATCCAGGCACCTCTAGCATGGGCTGAAGCCCCCGTTTGACTGGGGAGTGGCCCTCCTGGGGTTGAGCTAGGTCTTGCCTGAGGGGCTGTGGGTGCATGTGCGGTGGGCTCTTACCCTGGCCCTGACTTTGAGCAGCCTAGAGCCTGTACCCAGTGCTCATTGTTCGGGTTCTCCCTGTGCAGCTTCCATCTCCCTCCACAAAGCACCCTCCTGCTCTGTCTGCTGATTGGAGTGTTTGCCCCTGCTGTGTGCTTGGCCCTGTGCCGGGGTTCCGGGGTGGGGCAGGCTGTCCCTGTGCTGCTTTGAGGCTGGCTTCGTGTGGCACGCTCATTGCTGTGCGTGCCTGGTGCTGGTGGGAATCCTCTGCTGGCTTGAGGCTGTGGCCTAGCGTGGCTGATTGTGTGCCCTAGCTGAAGGCAGTTTGGACTTCTAGGGCCAGCCCTGGGGGCGGGTGAGGCCTCATGGGGGTGGGGGGGGAGACTGACCCTCTCTTGTCCTCTGTCTTTCTCTGTCTGTCTCTCTCGGCAGGTCGTCCGTACTGCCCTTTCATAAAGGCATCGGACAGTGGGCCTTCCTCCTCCTCCTCTTCCTCCTCCTCCCCTCCACGGACTCCCTTTCCCTATATCACCTGTCACCGCACCCCAAACCTCTCTTCCTCCCTCCCATGTAGGTAGCAGCCCCAGGCCTCAGTGGGGTGGGGTAAGGAGGGCCCCGCTTCCCAGCAGTGCCCCCGCCCTCCCCCTCCTGACTGCTGATCTCTGGTATTTGTCCCCAGAGCAGGTATTACCTGCCTCTTTCCCCTGGCCCTGAAGGGGCTGTTGCCCCAAGGGGCCTGGCTTATAGGGTCTGGAGCTGTGGTCTGGCCCCTGAAAGGCTCCAGACAGGAGGTGATGGCCAGGCCCCCAAGGTGGACAATCCTGGTCCCACCTGGCTCCCTGGCCCTTACTGACCAGCCTGGGGGTTTGTTCCATAGGCAGCCACCTGGACAGCCACCGGAGGATGGCACCCACCCCCATCCCCACCCGAAGCCCGTCTGACTCCAGCACGGCTTCCACCCCTGTCGCTGAACAGATTGAACGGGCTCTGGATGAGGTCACGTCCTCACAGCCTCCACCACTGCCGCCGCCACCCCCTCAAGGTGAATGAGGGGCTACACCCTAGCTGCACCAGGCCTCTCCCTAGTCCCTGGGCTGTGAACCCCACATGGCCATGGTAACAGCTGCTCAGGGATCTGGGCCACCCATCACTCAGACTGTACTGCCCTGGAAGTAGCTATGGCAGGGAAGAGGCTTGGGGTTGCAGTCCGACCTGCTGTCTGAACCTCAGTATCTCTCTGGAATGGGGATGGGGCCTTCCTCCGAGGGCGGCGGAGCAGTTTAAAGACACTACAAGATAAAGGGGCAGCAGGGCCTAGGGCGTGTGCTGGAAGGTGCTCTGTATGGAGCTTAGAGGAAGCCTTCTGTCCTAGAAGCCAGTGGGTGGGCAGAGTAGAGTGGCTGTCCCAGGCCTGCTTCTTTCCCTGAGGGAGCTGAACTCATCTGTCTCCTCCATTTGTGCTTTTGCAGAGACCCAGGAGCCCAGGCCCGGTCTGGATAATGAAGAGACCAGCAAAGAGGCCAGAGCAGCAGCCCCTCAGGCCTGGGCAGGCCCCATGGAGGAGCCCCCACAGGCACCAGAGCCTCCCCGGGGGCAAGACAGCCCCACAGAGGACTTGATGCTCATGGCATCTCCAGAACAGGCTGTCCTGGCTGCCCCTCTGGAGCCTGCCATGGCCAACACCACTACAGCTGACATCCCGGTAGCTGATGCCATTGAAACCGCCACTGCCGCTGCCGACACCGCTATTGCCAACACCATCACCCCTGCCGCTGCCAGCCTCGTTGACCTGTGGCCTGGCAATGGGGAGGAGGCCTCCACACCCCAGGCTGAGCCTAGGGTCCCTACACCACCTTCGGGTGCCGAGGTCACTCTGGCAGAGGTACCCCTGTTAGATGAGGTGGCTGAGGAGCCACTGCCACTGGCAGGCAAAGGCTGTGCCAACCTTCTCAATTTTGATGAGCTGCCTGAGCCGCCAGCTACCTTCTGTGACCCAGAAGAGGAAATAGAAGGGGAGCCTCTGGCCACCCCCCAGGTCCCAACTCTGCCCTCTGCTCTGGAAGAGCTGGATCAGGAGCCAGAGCTGGAGCCAGAGCCAGAGCCCCACCTGCTGACCAATGGCGAGACCACCCAGAAGGAGGGGACCCAGGTGGGGCAGGGACAGCCTGGTGGTAGGGGTGGTGGTTATGGTTCTAGCAGGCAGTACCTCCTTTCTCTGAGACCCACATTATTGGAGGGAGGCTCCATTTCATTCTCCCCCTTCAGGCCGTCTCTGCTTTTGTGCCCAAGGCCGGCATATGTTTCCCTGGAAACCACTGATGGAATCACTGGTTGCTGGGGAAACGAGCTCGGCTTGGTAGGTCTGCCCTAGCCCTTCTGGGTGGGGCCCAGTGACCTGGAGCTTTCCTCCTGCAGGCCAGTGAGGGGTACTTCAGCCAATCACAGGAGGAGGAGTTCGCCCAATCCGAAGAGCTGTGCGCAAAGGCCCCGCCTCCTGTGTTCTACAACAAACCTCCAGGTAGTGCTTGGGTGGGTGACGGGGAGGAATTACGGTGGGGGTGCTGGGCTCAAGTGTGAACATGCGCTCGCGCACACGCACACAATCACTTGGAGGTGTTGAGTTTAAGTGTGGATACATTACGTACACAGCCACAGCTCCCAGAGGTTGGGGGACACAGCTATGGACCTTGACGGACCATCTCCTTATCTCTTTTCCCAACACCATAGAAATCGACATCACCTGCTGGGATGCAGACCCAGTACCAGAAGAGGAGGAGGGCTTCGAGGGTGGTGATTAGCGGTGGCGCCCACCCTCAGGCTGCCCTCGCCAAGGCCGCCCACCTGTGTCGGCCTCTGGCCAGACGGCCCGCCGTGCCTGCACTCGCAGCAGCTCCGCCTGGCACCCACTCCGGATTCCGGCCCTGGCCCAGGACTTGGCCGCTTCCCTACCCACAGGGCCTGACTTTTACAGCTTTTCTCTTTTTTTTAAAGTTGATAGGAGACTTGTACAGTTGACTGGTTTTCCTCCCGTTGGTAGTTGAGACGCTGTTGCAAATTCTACCCCCTCCCCGCCCGGACCAGATTGTAGCTCTTAGTCCTCCCTGCTCACTCAGCTGGCCGGGGTGGAGGCCTCACCCTACGTGGGGGCCTGGCGTCGGGGGAGCTCTGGTGGGAAAATGTCCCACTTCTTTTCCTAGTTTTATGTTTCTTGGAAAAATATCACTTTGTATTCTCTGTCCAGGGCTTCAGATATTTTGCACGAATTTTAAAACATGGCAATAAATGGCTCGTGGGCTCTGGCTCCCTGGGACCCCCTCCCCACCCTTCTCTTGACCCCTCCCCGCCTGGCCCAAAGGAAGCAGGCCCAGCTGGGGCCCCGCAGCTTCCAGGCCCTTTCCTGCCCCCCTCCTGCTGGGCAGGTCCCAAGCTGGAGGCCCTAGGCGCGGATCAGGTCAGGGCTATCGGTGGGGGCCCGGGACTTAGATGGCCCCTCCCCAACTCCTCCCTCTTTGCTTGGGTTCCTTTTTCACGTTCAGTAACTGTTTTTTGGAAAGCACAAACTTCTGTAACGGGTCGTGCTCATGTCTGTTAATAAAGAAATCCAGATCCCTTCAGGCCTGCTGCTCCGGGCCTCCAGGGGCGGATCTGTGGTGTGCCGCCTCCCCTGACCCCGATTCCCAACTCTTCCCGCCTCCAAGGCCACAGGTGGAGCCCTCACCGTGATTTTCACGGCCAGGGAAGGTAGGGTCCGGCCCCAGGGGAACCAGCTTCCACAGTTTAGTTCCGCAACATCAGGCCAGTTTGTAGCCAGAAGGCCCATTCTGATTCTGGGTCACCAAGACCCAGGTATGCCTGGCTACCAGAACCTTGGGCGCAAGCAGTGGGTGCCCCCTCCGCTTGTACCAAACCAGATCACACACCTTTATTATCCTCAAAATGTAACAAACGGGGTAAGAAATCCCTCCCTCCCCACCCCTCCCCGCAGTCCAAGGGAAGCGTTTAAAAAGCCCCGCAGTCAGGCCTCGAGTCCGCGGGTGGGGCCCGGAACGCCGGGCGCCCCCTCTATACGGCTGTAGTCCTCCCGAACAAGGGGATGGAGACCGGCAGGCGCCAAGCTCCATGCTCCAGCGGCTCGCGGCTGCTGAGTTCCGAGTCGGTCCAGCTGGGGAAGACCCGGCGCCCACGGTCCGCCTGCAGACAGAGCGCAGGGCAGGGGGCCGCGGGCCGCGGGGCGCTGGGCAGGTGCAGCGCCGACGTGTAGCCCCGGTCCAGGAAGAGCGGCTTGTAGCTGGGCGGCGGCTGCTCCTGTTTCTCCGCGCTGTCGCGGCGGCTCAGAAAGGGTGTGACGATCTTGCGGTAGAGGCCGCGCGTGTCCGTGAGCACCTCACTGTAGGGCGGCGGCGGCTCGGCCATCAGCACCGCCTCTTCATAGCACGGTGGCTTGGACATGTCCGATTCCGCTGCAGAGTGGGAAACGATCAGAGGGGTGAGGCCGCCAGTGTCCAGCCTCCTGCGGAGGCTTTGGCCAGCCGCTAACCCTAGGCCCAGCCCGCTACCTCCTAGGTTCTCGGGGAGGCTGCCCTGTGGAAGGCTCGCCAGTCAGTCGTGATCCCGCCCACTCTTAGCGGTCCCGGATGTGGCATCCCGCGATGCCCACAGCAGAGGTCTGGACTTACCTTGACGCGGGTAACTCCAAGGCCGCGGCGGCACTGCGAGGTGCGGAGGCGGCGGGTGCGGAAGCGCGTGGTGGTGTGCGTGCGGGTGTGCGTGTGGCTGCGCCGGCCCGTGGTGCAGCAGCGGATGGACGTGCACGTGCTGATGCGCGTGCGCTGGCGCCTCGAGGCGGCCGCGCTGCGGTGGTGGCGGCGGTGCCAAGCCCGGGGGGCTTCCCGCCAGACTGCCCTCCAGCTCGAGGGGCTCCAGCTCGAGGGCGCGGAGGTTCTGCTCACGTAGTCGCTCCTCCTGGCGCCGTTTGAGGCGGCGGCGCAGGAAGCTGCAGAAGCAGCAGAGTAGGACGATGAGACCCCAGATGAGCCAGAAGCCGGCGAAGCACGTGAGGAACGTGTAGGTGCCCTGGGACATAACCATGGCGGCGGCGGGGCGGCGGGTCCTCGGCGGCTTCACTGGACACTAGGTTCCTCTACGTGGCCCCGGCCCCGCGCCACGCTCCCAGACGCCGCCAGCGTCACTCGGGGACCTGCGGCCGGGGGCTGCCCGTGGCGGGGCTCAAGTCGTGCGCGCGCCGTCAGGGGGCAAGAGCAGCGGCGCCTGCTCCTTCCCATGGCGCCGGTGGGAGAGCGGGCGGGCCTCACCCGGGGCCGCGCGGGACCTGTAGGACAGACACACGGCGCGGTGAAGGCGCGCTGCAGCCCCGACGACTTCCCTGCCCGCGCCCAAGCCCTGCGCAGTTCTGGGGAAGCCTCCTCTGCGGGAACCCCCGCACTCCCCGGGGGGGCGGTGACATCACCAGGGGATGACGTAACACCTCGAGGTTTCCCCGGTAGGGTTTTCCCGGATCTGAGACCGGACCGCCGCCGCAGCTGATCCGAGGGGACTCCAGGCGGGCCAGCAGAGGGCGCGCGAAGGCCAGTCTTAACCTCCGTACTCAACGGGAGGTTCGCCACCCCACGTAGTACCCCAGCTCTGAAAGGGCTTCAGAGGCCCATGGATAGACCCTCAGGGCGCTGAAGAGGAGTCTCTGCGCGGTTGCTCTGCGGCCGGGAAAAGGGAGCCCACCTCCTGTAGCCCCACAAGCAGCCCGCCAGCGCCCAGCTTTAGCGCTAGGCATACCCCGCTCTAGGCCTAGTACTCGCTCCTACCCCTGTCCGCCCAAAGCATGGAACATCCAGGTCCGCACTGCGGGCCTCTTGGTCGTCGCCTCTCTTGTAGAAGAGGCTCAGGAGGGGTCGTTCCAGCTGTTTCTGCGTGCCACTGGCCTGCTTTTGTCTGCACGGCCGGGCGTGGGCTGTTCCTCTTTTCCTTTCCTCTAGGCGCCTCCGCCAGTCAGATCCCAGCTCTGTTTCCCCATCCTACAATTCTCAGCCTCATTGGCTCTACCGTCTTAGCTCCAGTGGGCCGTATCAATTCCCCTCAATTCCTTTACGTTTCTGCAGAGGGTAGGAAAAGTAGTTCGTTTGCCCCTGTATCACCTGTCGATGGACACCTCTAGTTCTGCCTCCTTCCTTTCCACAGCCGGGGTTTAGCGTGGAATCTTGCATCGTGAGGTATGTAGGATGGAGCCCTGGCTGTGGAGTGACGGGTGGCAGGCGATTGTTCACCACCCTCGCAGAACAGGAGTGTGCCCTTCTTGAATGCCTTATTCCTACCCAGGGTTTTCACATATAATCCTTCGGGGTAACTGCAGTTATTCTTATTTTACAGACGTGGAGGGGGAGGGGGGTCATGTGGCAATTAGCTGTGTAGACCGCAGATGGCAGTGTCTTAATTTGAACCCAAGCCCGGCCACAGAACCCTAGCCAGGGTTGGGAGAGTGCTGCTACTTGAGCTACTTTGTAGGTCGTTCTTCCAGGAGCCCCATGGACAGCCCCCCATCCTCGGCATATCCAAGGCACACACACATTTAACTCTGGGGGCTATGGTGGGCCTGAGCTCCAAGTGGGAGGTCCACATCAAACTGTCTCAGACTGTTCTAGCAGCAAGCTGGGGGGAAGCCAGGCCATGGGCCACCCCACACATCTCCCCAGATGGCTCCTGTCTGATTCTCTGGCTGCCTTGTGCCATGTGCCACTTGGTCCCCGTGCCAGTCCCTTTCTCCTGGGCCTGTGTTCCAGAACAGACAATGGCGAGAACAATAGCTCCACCCGCCCCCTCCACAACCCTGCCATGAGGCTGCCATGGCGACGCAGCCCAGATAAAAACACGATGCTGCCAGTCACTGGGAGTTAATTAAATCTGTTGTTCTCCTTTCCCTGAGCCCACAGGAATTTTCAGGAATGCTCTGAGGAAGCTGGCACTAACTCAGGGGCCCCTTGGCCTGCACATCAGGAACAGCTCCAGCCAGATCAGAAAGGGTACTTCTGGGACTGGAGGTGAAGGAGTTTAGCAGAATTAGTAATAGAAATACCTGCCAAGGACTGTCTATTGCATGTCAGGCCTTGTTCTAGGCCCTTTCCATTCAGAACGTCATGTTATATGTAATACCTCCTTCTCAGTGGGGGCCCATTTGATAGATGAGGAAACAGGGTCAGAGAAATGATTTGCCCCAGGTCACACAGCTTATAAGGGGAGGAGCTAGGATTTAGCCTGAGTCTGAATCCAGAGTCTGTCAAAATACTTTCCCTTATTTGACCACTGAGACATAAAGGAAGAGCCCAATGCATGTGAGCACTTGGCAGTATGAGGACACTGAGCTGACTGGCCAGCTTGTAGCCAAAACACACCTTTCTGTCCTTCCCACCAAAGCCCTGGTGCTTCTGGCCACCAGGGCTCAGCTCACGAGTAGGAAAACGCTATAGGGTGGAGGAACAGGATGGCAGCTCCAAGGTTAACAAGGAACAAAGGACAGAGACTCTGCCCTGGGGAGCCCAACTCAGCTGACTGGGCATTAAGGTGAATGGGGCAGGCCACAACCAAGATTCTCTGGGTGCCACTGTGGCCCCTCAGCCAGGAGGCAGGAATCACTGTCATATTTTATGGATTCGGCCGCTCTCTGTCACACTGGCACCGATGCCCAGTTTGAGTGGGTGTGGATTTGATGCTAAACACTCCCCCCGGGCTACTGCTTCACTCGGTGGGTGCTGGCAGGCCCAGAGGGCATGGATCCTGCCTGTGGCCTCCCTCCTGCCTGTGTCAGGCCCATAGGAGCTGCTCATTACATTTCATCTAATCCACAGTAGGTGCTCACCACATAAATGTCAAGAGACCTTTCCAGATGCTCTTCCTGACAGACCAGGCTTCTCCAGTCTTCCTCTAAGAGCTGTCCCTTTACTCCTTCATACTTCTGTACTTGCTCCTGCCTATGTCTGGGGAGCCCTTCAATGCAGACCCTGCCTACAGCCTCTTGCTCACAGCCATGCGCCCTCTCCATCCCTTCCAGACTCTCCAGAGCAAATACTGCACCTGTCCAACTCCAGCTGTCTGCTAGCAGTGGTGCCTCCCCGCTTTCGTCTGCCATTTTATGATGTTTCTTCTTTCTCTTTTCTTACCTTCTTGCAGGTTATTTGAACATGTTTTTAGGATTCCATCTTGATTTATTTACAGAGTTTGTGAGTGTATTGCTTGGTATCTTTTCTTGGGCCACACACACACTGGGGTACAGCAGGGGGACACAAACAAGACCCCAGGGGGTGAGTTTCTTAACCTCTATGATGCCGGTTTCCTCATCAGTGACCGTGGTGAAAACTGAGCTAGTCCATGCAAAGGGTTTGGAGATGCCCAACAAACATTAGTGCTGATGACGGCAGCTTCTGAGCTGGGGATGCAGAGATGTGCATGTCCTTTAGATGCTCTCTGCCTGAGGCTGGACATCACAAATCATTCTCAGTCATCCTACAAACTAGGCTAGCATTCCTCCCATTTGACAGAGGAGAGACTTGGCTCAAAGAAATCAAATGATACCCAAGATCACACAGATTTCTTATTCTGGTGGGCTGCTGTGGGCACCTACCACATTGCTCCTCTGCATGAAGAACCCCAGCAACCTTAGACCCTTAAAATATACTGGCTCCTTTATCTCAGTAAAGAGCCCACCATTCACTCTGTCCACTAAATCCTGTTTTTACCCTCAGTGCACACTGTGACTCTGTCTACTCCCTTTGGTCCCCCTGCCACTACCTTAGCCAGGCCCCCGTCATCTTTCTCTCACCTAGGCCTCTTTATCACCATGCTTGCCACCGCCCTCTGTACTTCCACGCTATGCTCCTGCTCCACCTACCCATTTTCCACATGGCCATTTCCCCCAGGCCCTCTTCTGCCGGAATCCTCTGGCAACTCCCACCCCTTCAGGAAGCAGCCCAGCTCGTTAAGACAGTGTAGATGGGTGTCTCTTAAACTTGAATGAATGTCAGAGCTACGGGGAGGGCTTGTTAAGACAGAGTGCTGGGCTCTGCTCCCAGTGTTTGCTTCAGTAGGTCTGGGGTTGGACCCAAGAGTTTGCATTTCTAACAAATTCCCAGCAGATGCTGATGTTGTGGTCCAGAGAGCACACTTGGAGAACTGACCTAGATCACAGCCTCTGGGTTGAACTCCTGCCAAAAGGCATCTTCAGCCTCACTTCTCAGTGCCCTTCCCTCTGCAACCAGCCTGTGTTTCCATCCTGCACTGTTGAGTCCTGCTTTCTTTCCCTGAGGGGCCTGCAACACTGCCTCCAAGTTCTTGCCCCCACATTTACTACTCAGCTTCATGGGCTCACTGTCACTTCGCTGGACTAGTCAGCTCCAGGCAGCCTTACTCCCCAGGGTTGGAGGAAAAGCCCATGGATGTCACAGTGTGCTGCAGTTGCCTGTGTGTGACTCCAGAGGCTGCATCTGTCTTGTCATCTGGCCCCCAGCAGCTCCAAAACCACTTGGAGTGACTGGAGATGCCTAGTTCCCTGTTTGGTCTTTTAGCCAGAGGACAGGAAACACTTCAAGAGCTGGGCCTGGGGGCACCTGGGTGACTCAGTCGGTTGAGCATCTGACTCTTGATTTCAGTTCAGGTCATTACCTCACTGTCATGAGATCAGGCCTTGTGTTAGTCTCCACACTGGGCATGGAGCGTGTTCAAGATCCTCTCTTTCCCTCTCCCTCTGCCCCTCCCCCCCCCAAATAACTAAAATCTTAAAAAAAAAAAAAAAAAAAAAAAAAAAGTTGGGTCTGCATCCAGTTCACACCTGGGAAATGTCAGCCATTCACCACCAAAAAGTCAGTGAGAGAGAAGCCATCACCCAGCTCTCCACCCTGGCAGGGTAGCTTACAAGTGAGATGAGGACCCATCATTCATGTGAATAAAAGAAAATGGAGGCATATGTTAGGGGCTCTGGAATGGACAGAGGGAATCCCAGACAGCAGGATTTTTGGGTCATAAGGTCCCCAGAGCTGCCGGTCAAGTGAAGGGACAGGGTCTCAGACGAGGGCACAGCAAAGGGAGAATGTGGTGTGTAGAGTGGGGATAAAGTGGGAGAAGTTACTGCTAACGTGTCCTGCATATCCCGCACATGCCAGACCCTTGCTGGGCTCTTCACATTTATTATCTCAGTGACACCCAGGAGGTGGCTGCTGCCATCCCCATTCTACAGACAAGGAGTTGGGGCCAGCTCAGGCCCACATAGCCAGGTGGTTGTGAAGCCCAGGTGACTGCAAAGCCCACTGTCCTGGCAGGAAAGCAGGCACTGGTGACAATTTTACACTCCTCCCACACCAAGACAGATGAACTGAGGCCAGAGAGAGGATTGCCGCCACCGTCAGCCAGGTGTAGAGCTGACCAGACCCTCATTTCCTGTTAGGCCAAGGTCCTACGGGTACTAGAGGTGCTACAGGTAGCATCTCTGTGACCCAACCCTGGCACTGGGCCAGGAACCCAGGGCTTGGAAACTGTGAACAGGACAACAGACTGAGGTCACAAAGAGCTGTGGGCAGAGGCCCTTCATGGCTCAGTGTCTACTGTACCCACATCTGTCCCTCCAAGGGAACTGGCCACACTTCAGGGGCCGGGGGGAGATGAGGATGCCCTCTTCAGAGAGGCAGCCTGGCATAACACACAGAGCACTAAAGGGTGAGCCCAGGGGTCAAATCCTGCTTCCGTCCTGATCAGGCTGTGTGGCCCTGTCCCAGCTGTTCCCATGCCTGAGCTGAAGTTTCTTTGCCTATAAGACAGGGATGATGAGACCTGCCTAGGATTGCCTAGGGTGGAGCAAAACTGATTAAGGAAGTGAAAACACTTCAAGCCTAATGTACATAGCTGCATGTGACAAACCAAACGTCAACACTCTACAGCCTCAAGAGGCTCAAATATGGAAACGAGCCCATGGCACTACATCTACACAAACCTGGAAGTGGTCCAGCAGAAACTGCCATCACTTTACCGTTGACCAGAGGTCATGGCCTTGTGACTCTCAGGCTGGGCACAGTTCATGGGCATGTTTTGTTGGCCCACAATCAATTTTTTAAAATATTCTGATTAGTTGCCAAATTTAAAACCCAGGAAATTTACATAAAAGTCTGGATTCTGGATTCATCTTAAAAATTATCTGGGCATTCCACATCCACATTCTCACATGGTGACATAGACTGTAGCTGAGTAGCTCCCTGGCCCACCTCACTCATTCCATTGTTCCCTGGGCCCTAGAGGCATTTGGGTTTCTGTCAGCTGAACTGATGAGCACCTACAGTAGCCAGCAGTATATGGATGAGCCCATCTCTGCTGAATTCTACCACAGCCAGGGCTGCAAGCTGCTCAGCCACAGAGCCCCAAAACGTAGAAGTAGGCCATTGGGGGTTTCCCAGGTAACTGAGGTAGACCTCACCGCTCAGTTTCACCCAGAGAGAGAAAATGGAGGAAGGGAGCCAGCCCAGCAGCAGCGCAGTCCTATATAGCATCTGGGTGAGCAAGAATCGGCTGATTTGGGTGGAAGACAGAAAAGTACTAAGGCTCGAAAGGCAGGGAATTTCCTCACTGGAAGAATATGAAAGGAGTTAAGAATGCTTCTCTAGAAGCCTTTACAGTTCTTTTCTGCATGGATCACAATGGACGGTGTGTGGCAGGCAGAGAGCTGCTGTGCTAGCAGAGAAACCTTCACCGGAAACCGAGCTCCACCACTTACTGGGTGTGTGACCTTGGGGAGATCACATTACCCCCCTGAGCCTTAGAGTCTTCATCTTTAAAATGGGGATAATAAACTTACCTGCACAATTGTAAGGACTAGGAGTACTGAATGCAGAATACTCAACACAGAGCAGGAGCAGAATGAAATGAGCCTGTGAATAATTCCAAAGGCACTCCTGCCTGCATCACCGAGACTCAGGACTGACTTAGGGCACCACCCATCTAAGGACATTTTATGCCTCAAATGCCTAGGGTAACAGTCACCTCTGGTGCTCCAGGACACTTCCCTGGATGGGAAAGGAAACCCAACGGTGGTTGTGGTCACTGGGATGTTGAGTCCAAGGTCTGTGATTGGAGGCTGGCATCTGCTGAGTCAGGTCTGGGAGAGCTGGCAGGAGGATCATTTCTCTCCCCAGCACCCTGCCGCTGCCAGCTGGGGGAGGTTGGGAGAGGAGCCAGAGGTCATTTCCTCTGACTCAGCGACCATTCTCCTCCCAAAGGAGCTCCCCTGGAGGACAGCACATCTCCGTGTGGCGCTGGCCTGCCTGCTGGCCAACCTGCATGCCACCCAGCACAGTCTGGGCTTTGTGCTCAGACAAGAAAGGGACACTTGTGATCCAGACAATGGGCTGGGGCGCTCCTATTTGGCCTGAGCTTCAGCTTCCCTGGGTCAGCAATGTCCTTTCCTCTGCTCCTACCCACTCTGCTCCCACCACTCCCTGGAGAATGGTGGCTTGAAACGTGGAGCAGAAACCCATCACCGGCCCTAGCCGCGGTTTGGCACATGCCCTGGCCATGAGGAGGAGAGACGTAAGCTTCTTTCTTCTCCTCTGGTAAGGACCATCGCCTCTGTGGCACCCAACTCAGATCAGGCCATTTTGCTAACGAGTGGTGGTAGTGGTGGTGGGGGTGTTGGAACACAGACGCCGGACCCAGCCTCCAAGCTTCCTCCTCCCGCGGCGGGCCCAGGGGCTGGGCCGCCCCCACATTTGCAGCCACCCCAAGAGCCTTGCTGCGACGACTGCAGCCACGTGGGAGCCAGCTTGTGCCCACGGGGCCGCTCACCTCCCCACCCCCATCTTCGACGAGCTGTGGAGGCAGGCACACCCAGACGGGTGAAGTTATTACCCCCGCGGCTCGAGGGTGAGTCCCCGCACCCCCTCTCCCCCTGCGCCCCTGGGCTGCGGCCCCGCGTGGGGTGGGGGAAGGGAGGGAGGGGGCGTCACCGCCCCGCAGTCGCGTTGCCTGGGAGCGCAACCCCGTTGCTGTGGCAACCGTTTCCAAGCGAACCGGTGGCGGCTCGCGCCCGGCTCTGGCTCCCTCGCTCACTGGCGCCCTCCCTCTCCCTCCCTCCCTCCCTCCGGAGTAGGCTGGGGGAGGGGCTGGCCGGGGCGGGGGTCCGGGGCCGCGACCCGGGGCCAGAGCACAGAGCTGCCCGCGGGGAGGGGCTCAGCCCGGGACCATCTTCTGCCCGCGCTCCGGGCCCGCCCGGCCGCACCGCCGCCGCCGCGGTACTCACGGGCCCAGGCATCCTCCTCGAGCTCGTCCTCTTGGCTCGGGGCGAGTGGCGCCGGCCCCGCGGACAGAGCCCCCGGCCTGGGGGAGGCGGCGGCGGCGGCCCCGGGGAGCTGACTGTGGCAGCGAAGGCGGCTGCGAGCGCTGGGCTCGAGCCGCGGGGCGCGCACGGGCGCGTACACGGCGCGTACCAGCCCGGCGTGCGCGCGCGCGCGACAGCCGGCAGGGGGCCCCCACCCCCAGCTTCTCGCTGGCGAGGAGGCTGTCCTGGGAGCCGAGGGCGGAGGACCTGGCATCCACCTGCCGCGCGGAGACTTACAGGCTGGGCACTAGGTTCACCCTGCACAGGGAATGCACGCGCCACTCCGCACAGTTCCTGGCAACAGGCTGTCCGGAACGGGCGCACGCAGGCAGACCGGGTGTACACAATCGACCGAGCACACAGGATGCTCAGCCAAGCAGCTGACACACACATAAAGCTCAACCCGGAAAGCGCACACGTCCAGGCACCGGCCACATCCTGAAATGCACAGCACGCATGCAGTGGGCGAGGGTTGGAACAGGTAGGTACCCTAATGTTCCAGCTCACCAATGCATTGACCCCCTCCCAGTGTGTCCCCAGTGAGCATACAGCACCACTTCTGCTAAGAAGTGGCACGGGGAGGAGAACCCAGTGCTGGACCTATAGCCCTGGCCTTCATGGACCCTGCTCATCCCCGGGGAACATAAGTGAGCCCTGGTGATGGTCTCCCTGTCTAGGCTGAATCTGAACCTGGCTGTCCGTCTCTTAATTGGGTTCTCTGTTTCCAGTCCAACTTCTGTATCACATTTAGGGAGATCTTCCCAAAACACCTTCCACCACCAGGGCACCTGGGTGTCTCAGTTAAGTATCTGACTTTTTAAATATTTTTTTAAAAATGTATTTATTTCTGAGAGAGAGAGAGAGCGTGAGCGGGGACGGTCAGAGAGAGAGGGAGATACAGAATATGAAGCAGGCTCCAGGCTCTGAGCTAGCTGTCAGCACAGAGCCGGATGCTGGGCTCGAACCCACGATCTGTGAGATCATGACCTGAGCCAAAGTTGGACGTTAAACTGACTGAGCCACCTAGGCGCCCCAAGTATCTGACTTTTGATTTCAGCTCAGGTCATGATCTCACGGTTCATGAGACCACACGGCACCACACTGACAGCACAGAGCCTGCGAGGGAGTCTCTCCTCTTTCTATCCCTCCCCTGTTCTCACTCTCTCTCAAAAACAAGGGAGGGAGGGAGGGAGGAAGGGAGGGAGGAAGGGAGGAAGGAAGGAAGGAAGGAAGGAAGGAAGGAAGGAAGGAAGGAAGGAAGGAAGGAAGGAGGGAGGGAGGGAGGGAGGGAGGGAGGGAGGGAGGGAGGGAAGGAAGGAAGAAAAGACCCTCCACCACCATACCAGCTGGGACATTTTGGTTTGCAAGTGACAGAATCCCAAAACAAACAGGCTTGGACGCAAAGGTGTTTGACTCCTGTAACTGGGGAGTCCAGAGGTAGATTTTAGCCGTGATCTCAGTTGGCTCCAGGTGTCCCAATAATGGTATCAGACATGTATCTGTTCTCTCCACTCTGCTTTCTTCTGTTTGTATCATTCTTGAAAATTCTCAAGTGGTGGCAAGGATAACACGCCGGATCTAGGTTTATATCCTGCCACCCAACCCCAGAGAAGAGAACCTCAATTCTTTCCCAGTAATTCTAGCCAGCCCCCAAAACTCTTTTTGGACTCAATTTGGCTTAGTGTCCATCAGTGAACCAATCCAGTTGGAGGGATATATGTTCAGCTACCCAGTATGTTTCCTTTTCTTTGGTTACAAGCACCCTGTTTCATCAAGGGAACTCATTGCACCCCTTGTGTGCCATCATGCTAGGCCTGTGAACCCAAATGCCCTGCTCCCCCAGTGTACAGTGAGCAGATTTCCAGCTGGGCCATTTGGGCTCCTTGGGTTTGCAGTCAGGATCAGTGATGCAGACATAAACATGGCTGTAGCATCTTGCTTCTGGGGGTCATACCCTGATGAGAATGGGGTCTGTGACTAAGACCCTGGAGGTGCTCCAGTTCTGGTTCTTTTATCACATCCCTCCATATCCTTTTGAACACTCTGAGTTAGTTGGAGGACAGTTCTGTTGCTTGCTGGGTCCCGCACTCTAGGTCTGTGTACACAGGGGGTGCAAACCCAGCCCCATCTAAACCACATGGATTGAGACAAGAGACCCCCCCCCAACATAAACATGGAGTGCTTTTGCACATGCTAAGCAGACACCCTGACAAAACCAGTTAAAACCTTTCAGGGACTCACCGGCCTTCTAGACAAGGGCCCCACATCTTTTATTTACATGGCTTTCAAAGCCCAGCGTAGTACTGACTTGGCTCCATTTGCTCCCTTCTTTCACCCATCACACACCCATCACTCACCCCACTCCAAGCCATCCTAAACCACTAGAGGCCCTAGACCATCCATCTGGCTCCCCCACTCAGGTCTACCTGGTTCTGAATCCTGGAGGACACTAATTCAGACACTTTTGTGGCCAATGGGCCTCCCTGCCTGGTGTTGGCCCCCAGCCCCTCAGCAGTCCCAGCCCCACCAGCTCTAGAATCATCCCTGCCACAGTACTGACCACACTGAGTCTTAACTGTTCCCATTTCTGTCTACCGAACTCCAAATTGGTGGGGGGCCTTGTCTCCATCTGGGTCGCCAACTCCCACCATAGAGCTGGGTGGAGAGATGGACTTAAGAAAGGCTTGTTGGGAAGTGAATTCTGGTAGTTTCCACTGCCAAGGAACTCACTGTGCTAAGAGCTTTAAGATGAGCTGAACTGAAGCCAACAAGTTCCCTGGGTCCCTACCATGGAAGGGGGATCATGGGAAGTCCCTGGTGGGAGGTTGTGACCTACCCACAGGCAGAGGTGCCCTGGGGACCTACTGGTCCACCTGGCACCCACTCACCCTTGCACACCTGCTCAGGGCTGGGTTTTGTCCTCTGTGCAGACACCTAACTACCCTCCCACCAAGACAGAAGGGCAAATGCATGTTGGGCCCCAACCTCACACCTTATGGGTAGGACGCAGCTTCATTTTCAGCTGGCTCCGTCACCATCCTGCAGCAGCCATTAACCAGCTGGAAGACCTTGGCAAGGTCCTCTCCAGTTTCCCTCAAGAAGCAGCAACACACGTTCCACCCACTACCAAGAGCTGGGCCACCACCAGAGGCCCCTTCTGCTTAATCAGTGCTTAGAGCCTTCTGGCTGCCCCTGAGAGAGCTGTTAACCTGGCACCCAGCACCCACTCTCCTAATAGGCAAGAGTCCCACCAGTGACCCAGGGCCTCAGAGGGGACTGGCTGCTTTAATGGATTCTCATAGCTGCCCTATGAGGTGATGGGTATCACACCCACCTTTCTAGACAAGGGAAGGGCCTATGCAAAGCTAGCTTGAAAAGTGGCCTGACAACACTTGAACCCAGAACTGTCCAACTGCAAAGCTCTTGTGGCTCATAGCACTAGTACCCACCCTAGAGGCAAGGAACAAACCCTTACTGTGCTTACAGAGCATCCTTGGGGGGCTGGGGGCATTGGGCATGGGACTATGGTGCAGCAACAGGCTTATGAAGTCTGGGACAGACTTGTCAACAGACTCTCATCCCTGTTTTTGCATAGATGGAATGCTCTGGAATGTTCCCCCAATCCCTGTGTCCAGGTGAGTAAGTCTCCTTTAAAGCCTGGCTCATCTATTTTCAGAGAACCCTCCCTGATGTCCTCATGGCTGATCTCTACCAACTCCTGCACAGCCTGACTTCCAGCATCACCACTGTCTCAGCTCTGCTCAGGCACATTTCCGGATTCCTGGGTGGAGAGATGGCTCTGGAGAGATGGCTCTAATGTACCAGCCCTAGGCTGAGCATACAACAGGTGTCCAGGTAAGACAGAGTGGGTAGATGTTTCTAACAGCAGCTTCCACCTTTCTCCCAGGCTACTCCAAGCCCACAACTGGTGGCCAGATCACCTTGGCCTTGGAAGGGACTCTGCCAGCTGAGCCTGCCTCTCCAGTATAAGTAGAGCTAGACTCACACCCTAGTGGGAACCCTAGGCTTCTTCCCTCAGGCCTCATCCCATCTAGGAAGCTGAGAACCCACTGGGTGAGCCCAAAGGCCACCAAGTCCTGGCTGCCTGGAGAGGCTACTCCAAGATCAGCTGGGTGGGTGGGTGGGTGGGGAATTAGGGTGCAGAGGTTGTTGGAAGGGCATTGGGGACCAGGCCCACCTCTGATCCCTTCCCACTTCCAGCAGGGCAAGGGAAGCAGGAAGACCCCTGGAACACCAGGAGCAAGAAAAGAGGCAGGCAGGGCAGCTGGCCAGGTTTGTGCTCGACTGTATTCACTCAGAGACACGTGGCAGCTTACATTGGACAAAATGAGTAATAAAAATTGGCTTTAAATATGGAAAAACCAGGACCCTGTAATCCCATGCTACCCTAACACTGGGACCAGGATGGCCATCACAATCTGGGAAGGACCAGAACCGGGGCCTGGGGTACACACCTCAGCCTACCCACTTCACACATACGCACACACTTGCGCTCACACACACACCCCACAGGCACACACAGGGAGGGATGGATTATTGCTGGGCACATGTGTCTATTGTTAAGAGGGGAAGTCTGGAATGTTTGAGAGTTGACTAGGGACAACCCCCTCCCACTTCCCATGGCCTGGGCTGGGGGCATTTCTGCAAGAGGTGTCTTCAGGACAGGGCCCAGCATGAGGGACAAGGCGCCCTGGGAGCTGGAAGGCAGAGGCAGACCCATCTGGGACAGCCTGGGCAGTGGACTGATGGGTCCCAGGGTCAGCCCAGTCTCTGGTCACACTTTGGCACAGGCCTAGGAGATACAGAGGCCCCAGATCCAGCCTTGACAAGTGCTGAAGAGGGTCAGCATCGGACCCCAGAGGTGATGGCCCTGAGCCCGGGGCAGCAGAGGCAGGCAGGAGTCTCACTCGGAGGTCGGCGGTGGCGAGCACAGTGCTGGGGGCTCAGGGGCCTTGCCTGGCCCAGCCTCGGCCTGTCCGAGCTGGGCCCAAGGAGCCTTGAGTTTGGCAGTGGCCCTTCTGCCAGCTCCAGGGTAGGTCTTAAGAACGCTCTGGTTGCTATATACATTCGTACAAATACATAAATACAGAAAGCCCCGAGCTCCATGGACAAGAGCTGAAGGGACGCACCTTTGTCCCAGGGACAGCCCAGGCCTTGCCGAACTCAGCCACACCAGAGGCTGAGGGGCAGAGGACACTGGGGACAGCTCCGGCTGTGTTCCCCAGGCCACAACTTGAGTGGACAATGGGGAAGACCACTGTGCAAAACTGTAAACAGCGCTCAGAGTAGCTGCTACCGCCAACCACCGGTAGGGGCCTCAGGCTCGGGGCTAGAGGCGGGTGGGGAGCTCGAGGCGGGTGGGGAGCTCTTCCTCACTGTCGCTGCAGTTCCCACAGCAATCCTGGAGGGATGGGGAAGACACGGAGGGAGAGACGCAGAGCGAGTGCCATTAGCTACCAGTGCCATCACCCAGGTGGGCCCTGCCAGGACTTGCCTGGAGCCATGCTCTGGGGTGGGGGTGGGGATCCCCATGAAGGGCCTAGAACAGCAGCTCAGGCCAGACATGTGTGGACATCAGTGCAGAGGCTGCTCGCAGCAGGCTGAAGTAAGAGGGTCCAGGTGGATGTCAGGCTCTGCCAGAGCAAGACCCTGTCCAGACCCTCTCCCCTGGAGCTGGTGGAGGCAGGGCATGGGGAGACAGATGGCTAAGCAAGGCTAGCAGCTTGAAGGTGCCAGGGTGCGGGGAATGAAGTAGTGGGGGGGGGGAGCGGGCACCAGACTTCTTTCGCCCACATCTCGCCTCTGCCATGGAAGGGCTGCCCGTGGCTCCCCAAGGCTGGGCAGCAAGGCCAACCCACGGGGAGCCCACACTGCTCACCTCTGGAAAGAGAAAAGAGGCCGTGAGCCCAGCCAGGGATAGGGGACAGGCGGGAATGAGGCCAGAGACCCTGGGCACCCCTTGCACGGCTGGAGGATGCCCACTCCCAGCACATGCGGGCACCGGCTCTGCCTCCCACCCACCGTCCCCTGGAGTCAAGCGGGGGGCCAAGATAGGACACTGCTGGGGGTTACCTGGCGGCTGAAGAGTCTCTGCAGCAGTCCTTTCTTGGGGGGTGCAGGTGGCTGGCCCTTCCAGTCCAGGTCTGGGGGAACTGAGCCATCTAGCCCAAAGACATTCAGCTCCTGGAAGCACTCTGTCTCCACCATCTGCCAAAGAACAGGCAGCTGTGCGAGCAGCCTCCAGGGCTGCTCCTCGGGGGCTCAGACCACCAGCTGGGCAGACTCTTACCTCATTCTGCCAGGGGATGGGCACGCTGCCCGTGGCAAACTTCTGGTAGAAGTCCTGGTCAGTGGGCTCCAGCTCCACACCCTTAACTGTGGAGAATTGTTCAATGTCCAGAACATCCTTGCAATAAATGGCCTGGGGCTGTTGGGGACAGAAGTAGCAGTCAGAAGTAGGGCATGCACACATGCACACCTGCCCACCTACATGCACGCGGAAAGCTCCACCCTGAAAATCACTCCAGCCTTGGCCTGGTTGTGCCTGGACTCTTGCAGCCCTCTCTGATTTGGGGTCAGAAACTAGATACTCCATGCACTTCCATTTCTCCTCTATAAACTGGGAATCATTACTCCTCACTGCTTTCAGCTGATGAGGCTGAAAGACCATTGCCTTTCCTAGTCGATGGCAGCTGACCTGCTGCAGCCAACCAGCCCCCACAGTGCCCTGGGGAATCAGCGACAGGCAACCCCCCCACCCCCACACAGCTGTCTGGGGGTACAACTGGTGACGTGCTGCAGGCAGAATCTTAGCTGGTCCTTTCAGCTGAGCATCCCCACACAGGGCCTGGAGCTAATAGGTCCTCTGTCCCAGGATGTCCAATGGCCTGCTCCATCACCTCAAGGTTCATGGCCAACCAGAGGATTAGTCCTCCCGACTCCTCCCACCCCTGGAGCTCCTGCTGGAAGCTCACCTCACTCCAGAAGGCCACGGTCTTTTTCATCTTCATGTTATTCTCTAAATCCTACTATTAAGAATGTCAATTAAAACATAATGTGGGGCACCTGGGTGGCTCAGTTGGTTAAGCATCTGACTTTGGCTCAGGTTTATGATCTCATTGTTGGTGAGCTCGAGCCCCGCCTAGGGCTTGGTGCTGATAGTGTAGAGGCTGCATGGGATTCTCTCTCCCCCTCTCTCTCTGCCCCTCACTCACTCACGCCCTCTCTCAAAATAAATCAAAACAAACAAACAAACAAACAAAAAACATCATAATGTAAAATGGTACAGCTGCTTTGGAATATAATCTGGAAGTTCCCCAAAAGGTTAAATGTAATGTTATCATATTAGCCAGCAATTCATAATAGTCCAAAGTAGAAACAACCCTAATGCCCATCAACTGATAAAAAAACAAGATGTGGCCTATTCATGAAATGGAGTGTTATTCAGTAATAAAAAAGGAACAAAGTACTGATACAGGCTACGTCATCAGTATGAACCTTGAAAATATGCTAAGTGAAAGAAGCCAGTCACTAAGGACCACATATTGTATAATGCCATTTGCATGAAATTTCCACAACAGGAAAATATGTAGAGACAGAAAATAGATTAGTGGTTGCCAGGGAGAGGAAAATGGGGAATGACTGCTAGTAGGCATGGGGTTTTTGTTGGGTGGGGGGGAAAGGGGTGATGAAGATGTTCTAAAATGGATTATGGTGATGGCTGCACAACTCTCAATATGCTAAAATCCATTTAATTACATACTTTAAATGAATGAATTATAAATTATGTGAATTAAATCTCAATAAATCTATTAGAAATGATATCATCATCAAACTTGCTTCTCATCTGTTGCTTCTAAAGAGCTGAATTCCAGGCCACTGATTTTCTAACTCTGAATAAAAGACCCAGGCATGGTGGGATGACTTCCAGGTTAAATGAGACGATGTGCACCAGAAGCGGAGCGTCAGGGCCAGCCCCGAGGCAGGCTGCTCTCAGTTAAATTGCTCACAGCAAGGCCCACAGCCCAGGGTCTGTGAGGCCCACAAAACACAATCATTCATAAGCTGCAGCCCCCTAGTTGGCCTCCGCCTTCTACTCACCTCCTCTAGGCCCACCCCCACACCTCACATGTCTGCTCAACATTCTCCAAAGGCCCCCCGTCACACTTAGAATAAGACCACACGCCTTTCCCAGCCCATGCTCACTTCAGCCACACTGACCTCTTCACTGCTCTCTCTTTCTCTCTCTCTCTCTCTCTCTCTGCTGCTCCTTCTCCCTGAAATGCTCATACCCCAAAACGTGGCACAGCTCTCTCCTTCCCATATTTTAAGCTTCTGCTTAACCATCAGCTCCTCAGAGACCACCCTGTCTAAAAATACTCCCACTCCTAATCATTCCTTATTGTCTTCTTAGCCTGATTTCTTTTTTTCCATTGCACTTCACATTACCTGATACTCCTTTTTCACTTATTGCTTTATTTTGATGTGCTTCCCACTACAACATGAAGGCATAACTGGGTCCTGTTGACCTCATGGTCTCTGAGGTCTAGAGCGTATGGGCATTCAGATATTTGGAATAAATGATCACCAATGCGGCTGACAGTCACCAACCTGGCCTGCCCAATCTCCTTCCTGACTCCTCAGTGTTCCTGGTGAACTGTCAATCAGAGGACCCAGTCCTCTTACGTAAGAGAGCAGGGCAAGTACATAACCTAGTCTTGGCCAATGACAACCTTCCCTGGGACTTTATACAGAGAAGCCTGAATTCAGTGGGAGGAGGATCAACAGGTTGAAGCACAGCCAAGAGATGAAGTCTTGGCCACACTGCATGAAATCCTGATGTTGGCCCTACTCTGAGGCTCTCTAGCCAAACAAATCAATAAGCTCCTTGCTGGACATAACTAAGTTTCAGTTGGGTTTCTTCCCCTTGAAATATGATGATTCAAGGATGTTTCTGCCCATAGAATGCCTGACCCACTGAGATGCTAGTAAGTGGGTAGGACTCTACAAGGGAGAAGTCAGTGCTGCCAGGTGTAGTGGGCAGCCACTATTCACCCAGCTCAAAAGCCCTTACCCCCGCTGGCAATGGCATCTTGGTTTTCCTTTGGGAAACTGACCTCCCTGACTGGCAGTGGTACAGGTGGGCAAGTGATCCAAGCGTAGTCACTGATGGGCCTCTGAGCAATCCGTGGCAATAAGCACTAGCCTTAGGGTTACTTTTTTTTTCCCCTTTCAGGACTTCTTTTGAAATGACTGGGCAAGAGGTACACTCTGTCTACCGAGCTGGCTGAGCTGGTAGGATGTGTCCACCACTGCTGCACCCTAGCAAGAGAAGTCGGAGAGTAAAGGCTG